CTACAGGGTGTTCAGGGTCTCACTACACAGATTGGACTTGTAGCGATCCTCCTGTTTTCAGCCTCCCAAGGGCTGGGATTACAGGTGCGCCACCACGCTCAGTCTCAGTCCTGTCTCAGCACACCCCAGGAGCTGGACTTGGCAAGGTACACTGGGGATCAAACCTTGGTTGCTGCACCTGCTAAGCAGAACATCACTATTTTTTTTGGGGGGGGGAAACCTCATTCACAGATGTAAATGTTTTAAAAGAACACCTCATGAAATTATGTAATTACTGAATATCTAAAACTGTATCTGTATGGCTGGGGATATATACATAGCTCAGTGCTACAGTGCCTGCCTAGCAAGCATGAAGTCCTAAATTCGATTTCCAGGACAAGAAAAAAAAGCCCCTAAACAACAACAAAAAAAAAACCTTATTCATAAATATACCAAAGAGAAGCATATCAGATTATACTGAATTCATATTTCACTATGCATAGAGAAATGTTCTTACAAAACATATACCAGAATACAAATAAAGTTACCCACTAAGGTATAAGATTATGCACCCTTTTTATCTTTAGTTTTGCTCACTTAGACTTTCTTACATTCCTTCAATGGCTATGGATCACTTCTACAATTAAAACATACACAGCCAGGTATAGTAGCTCACATCTGTAATCCCAGCACAGGATTTGGAGGCTGAGGCAGGAGATCATTGTGAGGCTGAAGCCAGACTGGGCTAACCATATAAGTGAGCTCAAGGCCAGCCTGCACTATTGTAGTGAAATCCCGCCTCAATCAATCAATCAATCAATCGGCCAGGGATTTAGCTCAGTGGTACAGTGCCTGCCTGGCAAATGTGAGGTCCTGATTTTGATTCCCAATAACTTTCCCATAAAGAAGTACAGACAAAATCAAACAAATAAGCATAAGTATATACTTCAAAATTCCATGATGTAGGCATTCAAAATATTTAATCATTATGTGTATCTAAAACATACCAATTTCAATCCCTGGTTCCACAAAAAATAAACAAATAAATAAATAAATAAGTAAAAGAAATGTAGCAATAAACCTAATTTAATCTAGGTGCATTTTTTTTCTGCAATGCTGGGGATTAAATTCAGGGCCTATGTATACCAGGCAAGAGATCTACTCCTGAGCTATACTACCACCTTCATATTTTAATATTCACAATGATATACCTGCCCAAATGCAAGAGCAGTAAATCTTTAAAAAAAAAAAAAAACTTCTGAGAGAAGAAAAAAACAGCTCTGAGGCTGGATTTATCATTTATTTATTTATTTATTTATTTATATTTTAGGGAAGGGTCTACAGGGTACTCAAGGTCTCACTACTAGACTGGACTTGTAGCGATTCGCCTATTTACAGCCTCCCAAGAGCTGGAATTACAGGCATGCACCACCATGCCCAGTCTTAACTGTCTTTCAGTGCGTCCCAGGGGCAGGGCTGGCACAGCACCTGTTTGCAGGCAGTTTAATCTGCTTTATCTGATAAATAACCAATGTGTAAAGTTTAGAATATTTTGAGGCTTGTGGTATATAGTTCAGTGGTAGAACACTTGCTTAGCATCCATAAAACCCTGAGTTGAATCTATAGCACACACACACAAAAAAAGTATCCCTAGATAAAGTTTAGATGATTTTACTTGGAGAGCTATAACCAAATGTTACCTAGAAAATTTGTTAAGATAAGGTTTGAGAAATAACTACATTTCTACAGGACATGCAATTGCTTTCTTTTTTTTTTTTTTTTGAGACATAGTCTCACTACGTAGTTTATAGACTGGCCTTGAACTCACAGGGATTATCCTACCTCTGCCTTCCCCAGTACTGGGATTACAGGCATAGGCTATAACATCTGGCAGCCCAATTGCATTTCTATAGGCTCACTGTTGATTTCAACAAGATCTATTATTTCCTTTTTGACTAGTACTGTGGGATAACAAAACTAGAAGGTCAATTTACAGTCTTTAAGTAAACAAGTATTTATGAGATATTTAGGGGCTAGGGAGATGGCTCAGTGGAACAAGTGCTGCTATGGCAAGCACGAGGGCCTGAGTTCAATCCCCAGTTCCACCAAAAAAAAAGAGATATTTAATAAATGAATTTGTATGGTTAAAGAGATTCTGTAAACCACATATGATCACACCACTTTATGTGTCCCCAGAACCTCATGCTACCACAGACGGGGTTTTTCATAGGTGGTTGGATCTAGTGTGTGTGATGCTAAGATTAACATGTGAGTGCTAATCGCCCTTAGGGATGCAACATATGGACAGAAACAAGGCTGTTGTTGAGGCTGCTACTTTGCTGCCTTTTGCCTGCCATATCATGAACTGCTCTTCTCTATGATATCCCTGTGGAATGCCACCACCTGCCTTGGAGCCAGCTGACTATGGACTGAAATTGCTACATACTATAAGCCAAAATAAAGCTCCATTCTTCAATTTGGGTGGTGTTTTGTCTCAGCAATGAGAAAAGTTAAGACACTATTCAACTGCATGAAACTTTAAAATGGCCAAAAAACAAACAATGTATTAAGAAACAAATAAATTAGGGACAAAGATCGCCAACATTCCTCAAAAGCCCTCTTAAAACGAGTGGTATATACGTTCTGCTAATGTGATATGGAACCAGGGAAAAGCTGCTGCCACCAACTACACAGGTATTAAACACACTCCCAAGAGGTCTTAGACTCAACACCTCACACTTCCATCCTGACTCCACAGCTTGGAGACCCTTGCAGCAGTGAGGACATTTCTGATTCCTCTAGCCATTAAATTATCTCCTTGACTACAGGTTTTAGAAAACTCACTCAAGGAACTCAAACTACCATTTGTTGCTCAAATGACCACTAAGATTCCTGGCCTAAGAAGGAATTACAGGGCAGGGGAGACAGCTCAGGGGAATAAGTGCTTGCCTGGCAAGCACAAGGTCCTGGGTTCGATCCCTGGTAACACACAAGAAGAAAGAAGAAAGAAGAAGAAGGAATTACAGATGTTCTGTATTGTTTCTGGAGCATAAAACTCTAAAGCATGTAAAGTAGCTAGATGTTTTTACTGATATTTAGTCTGTGAACAACCTAATTCTTTTGTACTAATTGCCTTATTAAAAATGTTAAGAGGAAGACCCAATACTATTATGGACTACTGGACTATTTTGGAATATTTTGCTGAGTTCACACACTTATAATATTTAAATGACGGAACTAAACAAAAAAAAGGGGATACAGATGAATGACCATTTGTATTTGTGTATTCAAAATAGTTAGCATAGATATATCACTACATTCTCTTAATGCAATGAATACAGGGATTTGTTCTAATAGTGTTTGTAAATAGGATATCATGTCTGCATCTTGTACAACAAATAACCATGAGGAAGACAGTATGCAATGCATTAATTATTGGAACTGTCCTACCAATTTGATTTGAAATTGTGTCATTGTTATTTATTTCTCAATAAAATTATGGAAAAAAAAGTTACTTTAAAAAAATGTTAAGAGCCTAGAATCAAGGCAAAACCTCAGAATGTTTTGGCCCATGCTTTTTTTAAAAATTCTGATTGGAGCTGGACTTTGTCTAAACTACATGAGATTCAGCCAGGTGTAGTGGTGTACATCTGCAATCCCAGCACTCAGAAGAGTGAAGGAGGAGAATTGCCACAAATTCAAAGCCAAAGCCAGTCTCCACTCAACACCAGCAAAAACTTCATGAGATCTGACATTAGTGCCAACACAGCCCATAGCATAGCAAGATACCCGAATTTTGTTAATTCTGAACATGAGACTCAAGGACTGGAGATTTAGCTCAGTGGCACAAGTGCTTGACTGGCAAGGGTAAGGTCCTGAGTTTGATTTCCAGTATGAAAAAAAAGAGCCTGATGGTCAGAAAACTCAATGTATTGCAGTTTTATTTTATGGTTTTTACTTCAAATTTCCAATATTTTATACTATTTTAAAGTCACATAAATTGAGGTAAAAAGAGCTGACTGACGTTAATCAATTACTATTTAACAATCTTAAAATATTTAAGAGTATCAACTTTCAATCAAATGTACCCTTACAGATCTGATATTAAAATAACTAAATTATCACTCAGTGCCTTAATGGGAGGGCGACAAGCTAATGTCATCAATTAAGAAATATGAAGGGAAGGAAAAAGCCTTCTTTTCCTTGTACAAAGTCATCAAGTTGCTATTCTTTCTCATGGTACTTTTATCCATTGTTTAAGCCTGAATAAACCAGGATTGAAGAAAACAGAAAAGGGGCACTTAACCGCCAGGTGCCCAGAAGTTGAGTTAATGACAGCAACATAAAATCTAGGCTAGATTTTTTTTAGGCTAGATTTTTAAATGACAAAACAGAAACTATATAATCTTCATTCCAACAATCTGATAGTTAAAATGAGATTTAAGGATTTATTTATTGTTTGTTAATGAAACAGCCTGGACAGTTGGCTTTAGAGTTGTTCTAATCTAATAACTAAAGAAAGAAAAATCTAGAATAATGGTGATGATAATCATGTAAAAGTGTATTTAAATGTCTTCTGTCACATTAAGGAAGTCTCTACCCTACCACCAGTTAAAGCCCAAAAAGAGGGGCAGGGATTCAGTTAAGTAATCATTTCTGAAATTATAATTCTGGAAGTATTGCTCATAAAAAGTTTTTTCTCTGAAGAAAGAAACCAAAAAGTTACATACCTATAGATGGAGATTTGAAAGGGTATTTATCAGGGAGATCCACTCTAACTTTCCATACTCCACCTTCATATGGTGCTTGAATAAAAGTAAGAGATATTAGATGTTAGAAATGTTGTCTCCAAATAAGAAAATAAATGAGTATAAATTAAACATTAATCCAAATCTTCCCTGATAACCATCACATAAACTCCTTTTAAGTATCAGAGACCTACTACAATCAAAAACTACTCTATGTTCTGATTAACATTTTTCTTTAAAAGATCTAAAGTTAGACAGAGTTAGCTCAGTGGATGAAAAATGCCTACAAGCAGGTACAGGGACCTGGAGTTTGATCCCCAGGTCTGCTGGTCCAGCACCCAGGCCCACTGAGACAGCAATTAAGACTGGGCGTGGTGGCGTGCACCTGTAATCCCAGCTCTTGGGAGGCTGTAAACAGAAGAATCACTATGAGCCTGATCTAGTAGTGAGACCCTGAACACCCTGTAGACCCTTCCCTAAAAAAATAAAAAAATAAAAAGATTGAGTTAAAGCAAGCAAAAATTTATTCTCTCCTTCAAATTAAGAATTATTACAGCCATGCTCCCTTTCTGCCCTATCCCAACCAATCCCATGTGCCTTCCCTGCCCACTGAACAAAAACCAAAATATACTCCCTAGAAACCACCCATATGACCATGCATAACATAACCCAGAATTCACAATTCAAAAAAGAAAAAAGTATATAAAGTAAATTATGTTCCCTGGCAAGCACAAGAGCCTGAATTCAATCCCCGGTTCCGCCAAAAAAAAAAGTAAATTATGAGGAAAGAAAGACTTTTTCAATGATTCTGGACTATGGATGCTATTACTTGCCTTCTACATTCTTACTATCTGAAAGACTGCAATAGCAGAACACATATCAACACATGTACTTACTTCCTTGTGGTCCATAGAACTTCACTACAAATTCATTGAGTCCTCCCAGGATTGTAACTTCATGCTTACTCTCAATGCTAAGAAGGAGGTTAAAGGAAATTACACAGCTTTATACTACCCAGAAGTACTGACGACATCTTCAAGCTAGGCCAATTAAAATGTTACTAAAACTTGATATGATACCAATAAAATACAAAACACAGTGGCACTCAGTTCACAAACTTAATTTGCTCATTGCATGATTTGGGGGAATGGCTACGTTCATGTTCACATAAAAAAAGATGGTTGTGCTTGCATTTGTCACCCAATGCAGAGTTCACAAACAAAAAGCAAATTTTAAAAAAACTGCCAAACACTTATCTTTGGGAACCAAATTACTCACAAACAAAAGCATTCATGAACCAAAGTACCACTACTGTATATGTAACAACTCTTATAGTTTAGAAAGCAATTTACACTCTTATGAAAATAATGCATGAGCTTTTGGTTGAGAAATCAGTGTTCAAATCCTAGGACTACCAGTTACAGAGTATGTGAACCTAGATAAAGTAATGTAAATTTGCCCCCCAACCTTTTGTCCTTTGTCTGCCAACTGGGAAAATACTACTTCATAGGATTTCTGTGAAGATTACAATAAGTGCCCGCCTGGCAAGTGCTGGGTCCTGAGTTCAATTCCCAGTATCGATAAATAAATAAATAAATAAATAGTAACAAAGGGCCGGCCAAATAGCTCAGTGGATTAAAGTGCCTGCAAGCAGGTGCTGGGGGTTCAATCCCTACTGTGCCGGCTCCACCCCTGGGGCACACTGAGAGAGCAATTGAACCTGGGCATGGTGGTGCACTCCTATAAGCCCAGCTCTTGGGAGGCTGTAAACAGGTGGATCACTACAAACCCAATCTAGTAGTAAGACCCTGAACACCCTGTAGACCCTTCCCTAAAATACAATCAATCAATCAATCAATCAATCAATCAATCAAAACAGGCACACTAAAAAGATTCACATAGAACACAGGAAAATTGGCATCATTTCTTTCCTTCCTTCCTTCCTTCTTTCCTTTCTTTCTTTTTGGTGGAACTTGGGATTGAATTCAGGCCCTTGTACTTGCCAGGCAAGTGCTTATTCTATTGAGCCATCTCCCCGGCCCCTTGGCATCATTTCCTGTTGGTAAAATGACACACACATGCCTGCTGGCATACTAAATTTTTCCTGATCAAACACCCTCTGACATCTATAAAACATTCCACATAATACTAATTTTATGTATAAGTGTTTTAAAATTTTTTAAATCTCCCTTGTTGGGGGAGAAGCAACTCCATCTACAATAATAAAACACTCAAAGATGAGAAACACAAACCAAAACTACATTGAAATTTTATTTTATCCCAATCAAAATACAAAAACAAATGTTGGCAAGGATGCACATGACAAAGAAACTCTTCTACATTACTGGTGGGTATGTAAATTAGTATAGCTGCTATGGAAATAAATATAGAGGATCCTCAAAAAAATTACAGATAGAACTACCATTTGATCTAGCTATACTACTCCTAAGTATATACCCAAAGAATTAAAGTATATCACAGGGATATCTGGGATTCCCGTATTTATTGCAGCATAATATACAACAGCCAAGGAATAGAATCAGCCTAGGTGCCCATCAGCAGATGAAAGGATGAACAAAACATTATATACATAC